GGGCAGCGTCCCGAGGGACGGGAGGGGATCGGAGCCACCGCCGAGAGACCGCGGGGCTCCCCCGGGGCTCCCCCGGACCCCCCTCATTTCCCGCCGCCGCCGCTTTGTTCGCGCCGCGTTTGCAAATGGCGGCAGCGCCCCGGCGGCCCCCGCGCCCCCTCCTCACCCCTTCCTCACTCCCCGCCGTGCCCCCTCCTCACCCCCGCTCCCCTCACCCCATCCCGGTTATCGCCCCGCGGCCCTGCGCTGCCCTGGGGACGGGGATGGGGGGCTTGAGGGGGGTTTCTCCATTCCCGACCCCCTCCCTGACAGCGATGTGCGGGCGGGGGGTGATGGAGAAGGTGGGATCATCCCCCTTGGAGGGTCTTAAAGCCCCTCTTCTCCTTCGCCATCCCATCCCAGGCTGGGAATTGCAGTGGGATCATCTCCTTTAGGAGGATTTGAGCCCCTTTCTCCTCTCAGCACCGGGATCTTGCTCTCCTCCCCTCAGCTTTTCCCGTCCTTTCTCTCTGCCACCCTCACGATTCCCGCTGCTCCAGCCCCGTTATCCGTGGCCGTTCCGTTTCTGGAGGGTTTTAAAGGAACAAAAATCCATTCCACCGCGGCTTTTTGCCCCTTCATTCGGGGATTCCCGCTGCAATCTCCACTCCCAGATCGCTCCCTGTGAGGTCTGTGCTGTTCCAGCTCCTCATCCATCCCGGGCAGGTACCAAAACACAGCTGAGAGCGGCCAATTCTTCCTTAAAACACAGCTTTGAACCTACGGGCGATTTTACCCATGTCGCATTTCCCCACATTTATGGCAGAAATTTGACCCTTTTTACGTCCTTTGGTTGTTTTTCCCTCCATCCTCCCCAAAAACGCTTTTGGGAGAGTCACTCCTTCCCTCCGAGCGGGAATTTGGGTGCATTTCAAGGGGTGAGGCTGAAAWCAGGTGAAATTCCAGAGTTTGTCCCATTTCCAAGGGTTTTGGTAGGATTTGGGGTCCTGGTTTAACCCATCCTGTGGTTCTTCTCCTCAAAACAAATCCGCCGGTGCTGCAGCATCAGCTCAGGGATTTCTCCCTCCAAACCAAGTCCCATAAGAGGAAAAATGGGTTGTTATTGTCATTCTGACTGTAGGAACAGCCAGGTGGGATTTTGACCCTCCCCTTACCCGGCCTGAAGGAAAATGAGGGAATTTTATGGAAAATAATGGAATTTGTAGGGCCTTCAGGGCCCAGCCCTGAGCAGGAGGCACCGGGAGATGCCGTGTGGCTCCTTGGGAATGAATCTCCTTGCTCAGCCGGCGCCGGTCGAGGTTTAATTACAATTAAATCCAGATTTATGACTCTATTAAATCATCCTGTGGATAAATTGACAGGGTTGAATCAAAGGGGTTTCCTTGGAGTGGAATTGTGTGTTCATATAGCAGCTTGAAGGAGGGAGTTTTTCTGATTTTATCCTAAAAATGTGATCCTCTGCTCTGGGTGAGCTGAACAGCAGGAATGGGGAAATGCAAGGCTGGAATTGGGGAAATTCCAGTGGGAAAAGGTGAAAGTTGGCTGCTGTCTGATTTGGTGACCTGGGAAATGCACAGAACAGAGAAAGACTACTCCAAAGTGGGGTTTGGTTGGGATCTCCGGGATAATCCAGGTGGGATCTACCCTCTCCGTGAGGGATTTGCAGTCACCAGGCAGATTTGATGGGGATTGGTGGCAAAAAGAAGTGGAGGCAGAGGATGATGATCTTCCTCATCCTCAGGTGCAGGGGGTCTGCGTTTTCCAATGCTTTTCCATGAAGTTTTCCTTGGAATTTGAGGTGTTGAATCGATCAGGAGCAGTGGGGGCAAATCAGGATTTTAATGARTTAATTTTATTGGATCAAATGAATAACCCTGGGTAAAACAGGTGCTGATTCTTCCCTTGTCCATGTGGGAATGATGTTGGGGTGATCCCAGGACGTTCCTCCGTTCCGGGGAACAAAGCGCTGGAATTGGAACAAAAGGCTCCGCTGGCCCCGCTGGGGGCAGTTCCCACAAAAAGGCAGGAATTTGATGTCATTTGGGCTGAGTCTGTTGAATTCCAGGATTCCTGGATTTGCTGGGTTTATCATGTTTTCCTCCATGATAAACTCAGGGAGGAGACTCCATGCAGCCTTTGGGATGGTGTTGGTACTAATGAAAAGCCAATGGGGCGGTTTTGGGACTGTGAATGGATTTGGGGTAAAACCAGGGATAAGGCAGAGGGATCTGTTCTGGGAGCTGCATATGAGGAGCAGGAAGAGGGGCCCATCTGGCTTTTTCCTCGTTTAATTAATTAATTGTCCCTGGGAAGCTGCTTCAGTGTGGAATTGGGAGTTTTGTCTGGTTTGGAGACGGGAGCAGGAGCTTTGGAATAGTCCCATTTAATGGGAAAACCTCTTGGAAATAAAAGGGAATAAGGGATTGGAYCCTCTGGGGATCACTCTGCAGGTTTTGGGGATATAAATCCTCGGGAGCAGAAAGCTTGGCTTCATTTGTCTAATTGCAATTCCTGTTCCAGCTCCCGCCGCTCCGGCTCACCCGCTCTCTRTCGCTTTCAGATCCCAAAACGCCGCGGTGCCGTTACCCTCCGGTCACCGGAAAAATCCAAATAAACGCCTTTGGGACGTTCAGGCAGAGAGCAGAAAACAAAAATGGTGAGGAAACGGGCAGATCCYCRGGTGTGGGRTGAACACCCGCGYGTCCCGGCGCTCCCTGAATCGTCCYGACTTTCCTTTGCAGCGCCCGATGCGGATCTTCGTCAACGACGACCGGCACGTGATGGCCAAGCACTCGGCCGTGTACCCCACGCAGGAGGAGCTGGAGGCCGTGCAGAACATGGTTTCCCACACGGAACGAGCACTCAAAGCCGTCTCCGACTGGATCGAYGAGCAGGAGAAAGTCAGCGGGGAGCAGCCCGAGACCGAGTCCATGGAGACGGCGGTGGAGGAGGAGAGCAAGGAAGGAGGGTGAGGAGTGGAGCTGCTGGTGGGGTCGTGGTGCTGTCCTGTTTAGGTCTCTAAAATCCACTCAGATCCCTAAAATCCATTGAGATCCCTAAAACCGCTCAGATCCCTAAAACTGCTCAGATCCCTAAAATCCAGAGATCCCTAAAATCCACTCAGATCCCTAAAATCCACTCAGATCCCTAAAACTGCTCAGATCACTAAAATCCAGAGATCCCTAAAATCCACTCATCCCTAAAACTCTGCTCAGATCCCTAAAACCGCTCAGATCCCTAAAATCCACTCAGATCCCTAAAATCCACTCAGATCCCTAAAACTCTGCTCAGATCCCTAAAAATCCACTCAGATCCCTAAAATCCACTCAGATTCCTAAAACCGTTCAGATCCCTTAAACCGCTCAGATCCCTAAAATCCACTGAGATCCCTAAAACTTCTCAGATCCCTAAAATTCACTCATCCCTAAAACTCCGCTCAGATCTCTAAAATCAACTCAGATCCCTAAAACTCCACTCAGATCCCTAAAATCCTCTCAGATCCCTAAAAACCCACTCGCTGGCAGTGCAAACATTGTCCTCCCCGGCTGTGGAATCCAGGCAGGGTTGAGGTGACAGTTCCCAGTGTCCTGGGTTAATCCTCACAGATCCACCCCTCCTGTTGGGTGGGGTGTTGTCACTCCCCTGGCTGTGAATTCCCTTTGTGACCCTGTCCCGTKTTTTTCCAGGGATCAGAAAGCCACRGAGCAGCTGACGAGGACCCTGCGAGGGGTGATGCGTGTGGGGCTGGTGGCCAAAGGCCTCTTGTTGAAGGGTGACCTGGACCTGGAGCTGGTCCTGCTGTGCAAAGACAAACCCACGGCCAAGCTCCTGGAAAAAGTCGCCGATAATCTGGGAGTGCAGCTCGCGGTGAGGAAATTCCCTTTGGGATGGTTCTGGCTTGGAAAAGTCGTTTCCAGAGGCGCGTGGTGTTCTTTGGGATCGTTAAATGAACTTCTCCTCGTTAATCGTGGAGTGGTTTGAGTTGGGAGGGACCCTGGGCAGGGCCAAGCCCTGTCCAGTCTGGCCTTGGGCACTTCCAGGGATGGGGCAGCTGCAGCTTCTCTGGGAATTCCATCCTAGCATCTCTTTTAGGGAAGAATCTCTTCCCAAAATCTGTCTGAATCCCCCTTTTTYCAGAGTGAAGCCGTTGCCTCTTGTTCTGTCTCTCCATCCCCTGTCCCCAGTCCCTCTCCAGCGCTCCTGGAGCCCCTTTAGGTCCTGGATGGGACTCCAGGATCTCCCTGGAGCCTTCCCTGCTCCAGGAGAAAATTCCCATCTCTCCCAGCCTGGCTCCAGAGTGGAAATGCTTTGGATTTACAGAATCACAGAATGGAAAGGGAGCTTCAAACCCATCTGATCCCAACCCCTCTCCTCCCCACCGCTGCAGGCGATCACCGAGGACAAATACGAGATCATCCAGTCGGTGGCAGACGCCGCCATCATCATCAAGAACACCAAGGAGCCCCCTCTGAGCCTGACCATCCACCTGACGTCTCCAGTGGTCAGGGAAGAGCTGGARAAGCAGCTGGCCGGAGGTAGGGCCGGCCGGCACCCGGCATCCCGCGCCTAACCACCGGGAAAGTGCTCTTCAGCTTCAGCCGGAGCCGTGGCAGCTCTTCCTGGCCAAATGCAAACCAAATTCCTTCATTGTGCCAAGCTCACTGAGATCCCGGTTGTGGTTTATCCGGACCGAGCTTCAGAAGCTGAGGAGCACCTTTCACGCGGGATTTTGCTC